ACAGTGACAAATCGGTTGAATACAATTCGATCCCGAGGGGATAAGCGATTTGAGGAGAGTGTAGTATTTTGGCTTAGCACTCAAACAAATTAGATTGATTGATTTCACGTTCAAAAATTTACTTATGAAACATTTTTTGTAAAACAGGCTTTTGGTTGAATATAATTTAACATTCAATTAAAAAAAAAAGTTGAATATTAGCATCTAAAAATATGTAATCATTGATTTTTAAAATTTTATATACAATTTATCTTAATGTTTTTTGTTATTTTTGAATTCTCTTGCGTTAGAAATTAATTTTTTTAAGAATACATATATTTATTTTTGTAAATTTGAGAAGATTTTGTATAAGATATTATTATGATTCACATGTGCCATGTCAAAAATTTTCAAACCACGTCACAATAAAATAAGTGAGAACGATTCTCGATACATAAGCGAATTTGAGAAAATCACTTCTCAAATAATGTATAAGAAATTGTTCAAAATTCATTCTTCACCCCTTAAACTTTCATGAACCTTCATTTTCTGTTTATACAAATGTTTTCTCTGTCACCAACATAAAAAAAGAAAAAAGAATTTGTACGAGAAAGGTCTCTTATTGAACAATGAGTCGTGTGAGATGATCAAGAAAAACAGACAAGCTAACATCATCTGTGAAAACATTACTCTCGCCGGAAAAAGTTGCATTACCATCGGAAGGATTTAGTTTTGCTAGAAGAAAACGAGCCTGCAAAATCACACAACAAGAGATTAAACCAAAACACAACAATCATAAGCAATCAATCAACCTCAAGAGATATATTTCTACTGTCCTCAAGAAAAAGTATGAGCTGAGATTACTACTCCGGACAGAAAACAGATCAGTATATTCGTCAAACGAGCCTCTAGCTCGGGATTACATTGCTGGTCTGAAAATGGAAGTATGGGCGAAGAAGGAAATATACCTGTGAACCATACTGATCGCATATGACAAGACGTGGAGCGGGAAACCTTTCGCTGATAATTGTGTTTGCATACTCACGAGGTGATTGCAACAGATGCATAAATGCCTGACACAGAGAAGACAAGTTTTTTGGGGATCAGACTCTATACAATTTTTTGTCAGCTTTTCTTTTAAGATGATGGATGATTATACCTGGTGTTCAGGTTGATTATGGTATCCTGCTTTTCGCCATTGAGCGATTGTACTACCGTGAAATATTACAATGGTGAAGTATGAATCCAGTAGTAGGATTCTGTCAGCTCCAATCGATGCCACATCAAGAAGAATTGGTTCTGGTGGTGAATGGAATGAGAAAGAAACCAGTGAAGGTTGAATCATCACAATTGCATTAGAAACATTCTCTCGGTTCAATATCATTCGAAAATATGCTGTTTCGTCCGGACTATTGTTAAAGACCTACAAAGAATGAGCCCAAAAAGATAGAACTTGCGTTAAACGATCGTTACAATAATCTCAGTCCCTCATGCATTTATGGGCAGTGGAACGAGTACCTGGACAAACTGAGATCGTCGCAAGTGAAAGACAAACTGCGGGAGAATCGATAACTGAGAAGCCAAGGTAAAGGAAGAGGAATTGCTTTTCTGGTAATTTCCAAACCGGGAGCATAGATTAATCAAAGCTTTGTCGGCCCACCTTTGGGGATTGAACTCAGGCTGTAAAAGAAGAATAAGAAACCTAGAAAAACACTAAAACGTAACATGATCCAGCAAATATTTAGCTTAATTCTAACTAGCTCCTGTAATTTATCAACAAGTACCTGAGTCTCCATTTTGAAAGAAATTAGCCGTGCCATGACTACAGCTGCTGCTTCTTGGTCAAAACCATTACTCA